CTCTCTCTCTCTCTCTCTCTCTCTCTCTCTCTCTCTCTCTCTCTCTCTCTCTCTCTCTCTCTCTCTCTCTCTCGTGTTTCAGTACGGCGTGCAAGCTCACAGCTGAGAGACAAACAAAGAACAGGACGTGGACTCGGACCAGTTTCCACGAGGGACGGAGGATCGGACGCAGCAGAGAGGATAACGACATATAGTCACCATCCCTCCCCCCTACACCCAATTCAAGGAGAGAGCCGCAGAGCCACCACCTACCTCTTCTCCACTTCACCCAATCAAGAAAGACACCGGCAGAAACCTCTCATATTGTACAGCAGAACCAAATTTCTCTGCTTCCTTTTGCGAAAAAAACAAATTGAGTAAGAAAAAATCTCTGCTTTTCCTGAAAGTGACTCGTGGGCGCCAGCACTGCTGCCAACAATATCATCTAAACTTCCTGTCATACGAAAAAGTTGTCTTCCTCATCGACTTCGTCATCGGGCAGAAAATAATCAGCATGGAAAGAAGGATTAGGGTAATAGTGCACGAAGTGATGAAGGTCCCGTTGAGAGGAGTAGTTAATGTCTTCGTCGTCTTCGTCGTCGTCCTCGTCGTTGTCGCCATCCTCCTCATCATCCTCATCCTCTTCATCTTCTTCATCGCCCGACCCTCTACTTCCATCCCCGCCTTCACCGATATCTACGGCGGAGACTTCGAAATCTTTCCGCTTGGCGCGCAGTGCCTCCACCGCCTCCGTCGTTATCGAGCGGCAGCGATCCACTCTCAGGACTCGCAGGCACGTGAGCTTCTTGCCAATCATCTCTAAACTCCCATCGGTAATCTCTCCTCCTTCCAATCCCAGCAGCTCTAGATGGGAGAGGTGGTCGGTCACGATCTCCACCTCTTCGTCACCGAAGGTGGTCCCATCGAGCATCAACGAGACCAACTGTCGGGATCGCGGCGCTACAGTCTCCACCACGTGGCCGATCGAGAACCCTTCAACTCTCGTGTTCCTGAGGTCTAGTGTCCGAAGCCGCTGGCATCCCTCCACAAACGTCTCAACGGGCGGAAAGCTAGGGACGATCTCCGTGTTCGCGAATCGGAGATCCTCCAGAAGAGGACACTGGCGGCCAATCAACTCCAAGCACTCACCGGGGCAATTAACGACAGATAACTTAGTGAGTTTCCCTTTACTGCGGGTCATGACGCTCCTCACTAGCACCATGTTGTTGGCCTGACAAGCAACAGAGTAATGCAACCTGTCATCGTCGTGAAGGATCTCATCATCGTGAAGGACATCATCAAGGATCGCCTCCGTCCAACAACACGGATCGTACGACGCACGATGCCAGGCCTTGCAAACAAGGCCGACGCGGAACCTATCAACTACGGGGAGGAAGCGAAAGGCGTGCACGAGAGCCTCGTGGACCATATCAGACCAGTCACGGCGAGATAAGTCAACGACGCCGTCTTCTTCAGCTTTGACTTCGACATCGCCATCCAGATCGTCGGTGACGTGGCGGCTATTGCGCCGTTGATCGGCGGGGGAGGCGGCGGAGGCGGAGGCGGCGGAGGCGGAGACACCGCGACGAAAGATGATGGTGGAGGAGGGGGAGGAAGTGGAAGAGGAGGAGGAGGAGGAGGAGGAGGAGGAGGAGGAGGGCTTGGCAGGGGAGATTAGTTTCCTGCCGGCTCGCGGATTGGGCGGCAAAGAGGTTCCTCGGGACTTGCTGACAGACGCCGCGGCGGCGGCGGCAAGTAAAACCCTAGAGGGGAGCAGCCTGGGCGACCTGCCCGATCTGCGGATACTGCCTGCACTCCAGGCCAGCCGTCGGATCAAATCTGCGAAGGTTTCCTCTTCCGTCCCCCCCCATAAACCAGTTATATCGTCCATACCCCGCCGCAGCGCTGTCGCCAACAAAAAACAAACACAGTAGCTGCAAGCTGGTCCTACTGCTAACACGTGGCGCAGCACGCTTTGATCCTCTCCAGTGCCTGCTCCGTAAATATGATCCCCACGATGGCGCGCTTTAATCGCCTACACTTCCCTTTCCCTCAATGATGTCGTCACAAGTGGCGCACTTTCATCGCCTCCTCTCTCTCTCTCTCTCTCTCTCTCTCTCTCTCTCTCTCTCTCTCTCTCTCTCTCTCCCCAATTAAAATGCGCTCGTCACAAGCAGCGCGTCGCTCACTCATTCCCTTCCTCCTCCCTCTGCCAATCGTCACACGCGGCGCAGCTTTGCTTGCCTTCACCCAAATACCACTCCGATCGCCGATGCCATAACCGCAAGGACACACGCAAACACGCGCGCGCACACACACACACACACACACACACACACACAGAAAGTGGAACTAACCAGGAGAGTTCCTCTGCATCAAGTGATGGCCACAGTCAATCCAAAGCTTCGGTGAAAGCTGCGCGTGGATGCTATGGCCGAGCTCACGGGTATTCCCCTCGTGATCGATGACGTGGCGAGTCCAGGGCCGCCTCACGTCAGGATCTCAATCGCAGTGGAACGCGCGGTCGTGCTGACCCACATCGCGCCGAGCCGGACTGCGCGGTCTCGAGGATTACTGATCGATTCCCCGCGGGGGCCCCCGCACTCCGCCGCCACCTGATCGATGGTCTCCCCGCCAGTGGGAGTGGTGGTCCCATCCGCCAATGTTCCTTCCCCCCCCGCCCCTCCCACACATGTCCTTGCCCGGATGCTATGGCGCTTCCGGTTCCGCGCGCACGTCATCCGCAGCCTCGGCGCGCAGCTAACCACAACAGCTCTTTCTCGGTTCATTCATCGCCAGAACCACTAGACCAGGCTCTCGCGTGCAATACCGCCCTCGCTCCGTCCCTCGTTGCGGATCTTCCGTGGAACCGTGAATAGGCCATCATCTGGATTACTGATGGCGCCGAATGCTGAGTGCTCCACGTCAGGCTGTACGAGCGTTAGGACTGTCTTGAACGACTGGTCGTCACTGCGGTCGGATGCATTTAGAATTACCATGATGCGTCCTCCTGTGAGTATGGGGCACGCTCCACCACAGTCAGTACACAACTTTCGGGTTCTATCTGGACCTGGTGGTCTCGGTACATTCAAAATGTTCAGAATGGTGAGTGGTCCGAATGTTGCGTGGCCAGGCCAGGTAGTCGTGCGACACTGACTAGTGGAGCGCGACGCCGCATGCCTGCTTATGTGGCCAGCCAGTTTGCCTTTAATTTTTCTTGAGAAAATTGCATCAACACCCGTTATACCCAGATGATGTGCCCAACTTGCTGCCCGTGGAATTATTTGCATGCCAAGAACTCAGGCTGGGACCGCCAAATTGCGGTTATAACCAGCTTCCGGAATGCTCAATTTATTGACTAACCCAGGCCAAATTATCCCCATGCGCGCTATTGGGGTTGAAAGGCAATACTTGCAGTTGGGACTTCGCTAGTGGGACTTGGCCTTTCTCTTTCCCCCTCCCCTCTCTCTCTCTCTCTCTCTCTCTCTCTCTCTCTCTCTCTCTCTCTCTCTCTCTCTCTCTCTCTCTCTCTCTCTCTCTCTCTCNCTCTCTCTCTCTCTCTCTCTCTCTCTCTCTCTCTCTTTTCTTTTTTTTGTGCCCATCGACCCGCGCGCACACCACAACCGGGTGCGGACGAGGGTCCTACCGGCCCTGTCAAGCTGGATGTCACGATATCATGGACGTCACAGTGTGGGGAGCGAGGTGCCGCTTCGGCCAAGTGCACCAGCCATATGTCTCACAGCTCCCTATGATAGAACAGGGCGCTGCGAGGTAGAACTTACATCCACCGAAGGAGTTGTCACAATCTGAAGGGCGTTTCCCTGCCAAGCTACCAGCTCAAGCGAGGAGGCTCTTACCCGCCACACCAGAGGTGAATTAGCCTAGGGCATGACTTTAGTTGCTACAGCATAAGGGTAGCGCATAGTAGTATGTCAGACCATTAGTCGGTCATGAATCATCGCGTAGGGTGCTAAACTTCTAAGTCGGATTGGACCGACTCTCAGTCTAACCAAGTAACTTAGCTAGTACCTCTCGGTCAACTGTGAATCCCTAGTTCAAAGGCTCACACAAACCCACGTGCTCGTCTAAACTATAGCAAGGAGGTGCAGACTCCCCTTGTATAATCGACTAAACCCTCAATAGGATAGTGATCTCTTCCACAGGACTCCGATTTCAACCTTACATGCTAACTTCGTCAAGGAGTTGGACCTAAGCCACACGCCTATCCACAAAGGGGTCAAGACAAACATAAAAAGGCAAAAGACATTTGGATCTTTCAACAATTTACCCGATATCATCAGTATAGCAAACCAAAACAAAATATACTATAAAAAAAACTACACTTCGTTGAGATGTGAGGATCAGACTTCTGACAAGCTTAGCCATGAACAAAACTCATTTTTACTGAGCAAAATCAAAGTACCAGTTTACTAGCATACAATGTATCCTCCTTGGTCATAACCACGGGGCTGCTGACCGCGTGCGGTCGGGATTGTGACCGCATGCGGTCGAGTGTAGTCGTGAAACTTACCGTATTTTTATTTCCAAGAAAAATAGGCAAAAAAAAAAAAAAAAGGTTGGAGGGTTTTAAAATCCTTACATCCTTTTTTTTTTTTTTTAATAACAAACATTCTAATCAAAAGAAACCTAGGCTACCAAAGTGACCCGGGTCCACTTGCACTGCGGGACCAAAAAGAAATAGAAAATTTTAAAAAATAAAAATTATTTTTTTATTTAAAATTTTATTTTAAACTTGGTAACGAATTTCGATATGACCTTGAGGCAAATGTTATCTATTGATTGATTGGTCGGTCGATTATGATTCGTTGGTTGATTGATTGAAATTGATTGATTGATTGATTGGTTGATTGATTGGTTTATTCAATCGATCAATCACGTTCAAACACAATCAATCAATCAATCAATGTTTTTGTTTTTTTTTTTTTGCACCCACCTACCCACCGCCCTACAAAAACCGTTATTTTAGATTTTTCGGGGGGTCATGAATTTTTTACCCCCCCTCCCAATCCCCCCCAATGTTGACCCCCCATTTTTTTAACCTTTTTTTTCACTTCGAGAGGGTGGGGCCTGGGTCCCAGAATCTCGATGTCGGTAAGCGGGACCCCCCTCCCCTCGGGCGAGGGAGGCCGTTTTCTACCGCGGCCATAACGGTCATGACCGCAAGGTCAATGCCCCGGACGAGGGCCACAAACGTGGCTGCGATGACCGCTGTCCCTGGGGATTCGTAGCGAATATATACAAAAGTAGAGGATATCATAAAATGCACATGAAGTTAATCCTTTATGCACTCTTACCCTATGCCCAAACCTTCACAGTTTTTTCCTTGAGGTCAATCCACCAATGCGACAACCACTCAAGGACCCCTTAGACTAACACCAACCTTTTAAACGATGATCTGGAAGAGCGCACACACACAAATACACATATATGTGCGCATGTCCGTGTGTGTGTATGTGACGGTAGCGCACGAAAACACACGTGCATCGCAATGGGCACAATTTTTATTTTCATTTTTGATTGATTAATTGTTTTCGTGCAATCACATCTACACATACATACACAATGGGAGGAAGGGGGGCAAGCGAGGTTTTACATTTTTTGGGGTATTTACTCCCACTCATGTCCATTTTTATTTTTATTTTTAATTCTCTTTTCATCACACCTGTCTCGCCACTCCTCCCCCCTAAAAAACTGAAGGGAAAAAAAAATAAAAATAAATAAAGTTCGGTCGAACATGAATTAACATGGGACGACGTTTGGGAGTTAGGGCCGTCATTTTCAGACTGACAAGAACCACGACAAATTTAAGTTCATCGAAAACTCAAACGATACGAGAAAATAAATTAGTTAGTTCAAATCCACGTAAGTCGAACGCGTCTGTATATGAAAATCGACAGTTTGTTCCGTCGTACATTCAAATGTGGGTAAAATAATTAGCCCTGGTCACGAACCATGTGCTTGTTATACTAATATGGCTTAGCCCGAACCACACATATAACGATTTTTGTCCTCTTCTACCCTAAGTAAAAGCTAGACCAATAGGCTTAGGTGCGGTTTGACAATTGGAACGTACGAGGATCAAGTTCATCCTGCCTCAAACTAACTATTTCGCCCCATCTTCGATTTGCCGGAGTTTGAACTCGCAACCATTGGAGAAAGGGTTAGTAAGTTAGTAACGACTTTATGATCCTCGCAATGCTGGAAGCCCAACAATTTTTAGCACAGGTCACGTAGTGCCAATTTAAGTTAGATTTCTTTCCCTTTTCTTATTATTTATTTTTATGATTCAAGTTTTAAACTATTACTTCATACTTTACTATTTTTAGAATCTTTGGGGAAATTTCTTAACTACCATCTAAAATATCACCTAAATCAAAATGAAGATTCATTAACATATAAGAAAAAGAACGGTGCACATTAAACCACATCTCAACAGAATTGCATATTAAGAACGAATCATTTGCTAAAAGTGGGTAGGTACATTTTTTTAATATACATGTGATTACTTATGGTTTCACTAGAATATGCAGGTTGCATTTAGCAGTCGAATCCAATTGTGCTTAAACTTGTGTGCACCGTGACCACAAACACGTTCAGATTCAGATACCTTCCTGCTCGTGGGAAATAGCAGACACATAGGCTAAGCACGATGCGGCTAGGTAGAAGGGACCGATGAGAGCAAGCAGGATGAGCCAACATTGTCACCAGCACGACCGTGAATGTGAACAGTGGCAAGTGCACAGGGAGGGTCGCTAACACGGAAGCAAGAAAGCGTTAGCGTATTTACGAGCGTGAACGTGAATGCAAGTCGTAGCAGAAAGTAGGCAGAATAGCGAGCGCTAAAACAAACGTTAGGCGCAAGTGGGAAAACAAATGAATATCAGGATGAAAGCATGAGCGAACAGAGGTAAGCAAGCAAAGCAAGTAGGCAAATGACACATAAACATGAGGAGTAAGCGCGAATGTGAGTGGGATGAGGGGCGAGGAAAGGAAGTAGAAGAACACGAGGTGGAATAAAGAAACGAAAGCAAAAGTGAGAATATGGCTAGGAACGAGATTATAGGTAAGGAACAAAGGTGCGAATTACAAGGCATGTTCATGCAAACACAAGTTGAAGTGCGCAAACAAGAAAACAAGCGGAATCATTAAGTGAGATTTTTAAGGGTGAAGAGGAAGAGGAAAAACTCACCTTGATAGCCAAGTGATGTTAGAAGAGTTGGAACTCGGATATACAGTATTATGAACAGACTTAGGTGGGTGCAATCGACCTTCGTGTAAGAGGACAATTGTGCAAGGGAAAATGACAACTAAAGTGGAACGCAAACATTTTGTGAGTAGTTGCGCTTTTCAATTGCTCATCTTAGCTTCATTGAGTAGCAGCAGTGTCTGTGGTCGATACTCTCTCTCGCACAAACACGGGCACACACACTCTTCATTAACTCGAAGTTACGAATATTATCCAAATAAGAGCAGTATACGAAACTCAAATTTTATTTTGCACTTACGAACGAAAATGCCCTTG